TCAAGTTCATCTGAGAGCAGGGGTGGCGGTTCTTTGGCTTCCAAGCCCAAGTTATTTAGGGCAGAAAACAGTTCCTTCCCTAGGAACGAGGCAAGGATGGTATTCGTCAGTTTAAAACTTCATACTCCACCCATACTTAGAGATGAGATTAACTCCAAACAGCTGCTGTGTTCTGAACTCTCAAAAGGGACATGAGATCTTTAGTCCGCCTTTCCTAATGCTGTTTCCCTTTTGACTGCCGTTACCAGAAACTGTTGGCATTATTGGTCTGTCAGTATTGACCAATTATATAATTGTTTATAGTGAAGTTTTATGACTGCGGTTGTTCAACATCATCAGTTTGAACATACAGTTTTCAAACATTCCATGGTGTTTTCTGTTTCGTTAGCCCTCCCGGGTTCCTTTTGAAAATAAGATATCAATCTTTTCGAAAGATACAGATAAACTTCAGCGATGTTTTGTTGACACCCGATGGCTTCAGAGGTCATAAAAAATTATAATATAGGATGGAACTGCCCATAAGAACTTGATGCACAGCCTTGAAGATGATGTATCATCAAAAGCTTGTTATTTGTTTTTGTTTTTGTTGTGTTCTTAATGTTCGATTAAGGCTATCACCTACTCCTGCATGAATATACGTAACGATGTATCATCAAAAGCTTGTTATTTATTTGCTTTTGTTTCTGTTGTGTTCTTAATGTTCGATTAAAGGTATCACCTACTCCTGCATGAATATACGTAATGTTGTTTGAGAAGAAGTAGCTGTGTTAGTCGGTGCTATCATAACAGGCCGAAACCAAAAGAAAAATACAAAATAACGAAGACAAAAAATCATTGTGGCATATTAAAGACTAGCTGCTATATTTTAATGTGGGTTTTCATGGACAAGTCTGCTTCGTCAAACATCAGAGTGAGACTACAGGGCAAATATTTATACATGAACTGTTTCCTGGGCACAAGTTGTTGATAGCGTGGCATCTTCAAGACCTCCATTCCTCTCCCAGGAAGCACTGTTTTGTTAAAGAAAAAATGACAGTGATTGGCGGCCAGATTAATCCCAAGCAGGGAACAACGCAGTGATGAGTACAGTGGACCTTCGACTTACAGACGGCTCGACTTACAGACTTTTCGAGTTACAGACTTCTCTGGCTGCAAAATTTAGATTCGACTTGCAGCCGGAGAATCAACTTACAGACCAGAAAAAAACCAAAATGGAACAAAAATAGAATAAAAACTGCCAGTTATGGGATTAATCGGTTTTCAATGCATTGTAGGTCAATGGAGATTCGACCTACAGACTTTTCGACTTGCAGCCACCGTTCCAATACGGATTAATTCTGTAAGTAGAGGGTCCGCTGTATCTCTAATCACCAATGGGGCTTGTGAGGTGGATGTAGTTAGTTAGGAAGGAAATACAGCTGGGAGATACAGCAAATACAATATAGGATGTAGTAGCACTGTTAACTTCACCACAGAGAATATGAACTAGATCTCTTTTAAGCCAGCTGTGTATATTATTTGTGAAGTTCAGTACTTTGTAGAGAACACGGCTGTGTCTAGGAATGTTTCCAAATAATACTGAGAAAGAGAGATTGTTTTAAAAGCTACAAATTGAAAGGTAGGGTTTGCAGTCCCCCAAATCTGACAGTTTTCTGTACTCCGATGCAGCAGTCGAAACCAGACCAAAATTTGAGGACAAGATACTTTTATTTCAACTGGTAGGATGTAGTAAGCATCCTTGTTCATCAACAGAGAAGTACAATGACAAATGTATAAATATTTTTAGCACTCTGACAGGGTTCCTTCATGTAAATAAAACCAAGGATATTCCATTAAAAAAAATAAGCAAAAGCAGATTAAATACTATGCTTAGAAACGAATTAATTCGTGAGACATAGTTAACCACGAGATATGAAGTTCCTTCACAACAAAGGTCACTGGTAAGATCGGCCTCTAAGGTTTAAGCAGTGCACCTAACAGTAAATATGTGAGGATTCACAATAGCAGAACTTTACATATAGAAGGAAGATGTCCGTATGAATCAACGCAGACCCATGCACACATTTAGATTGTTTTAAACAGGAACCTGGCATTTTTATATCATGCAAATGTTATATAAATGTGCCTGATAATAGCCGATGAGCATATCTACATTATGGACCAATATTGACTTCTACTGTTTCTGCTCTAAAGAATCCTGGAAAAGACAGCTTGTAATGAATGCAGAGAGTTCGCTTAGGAGGTGATTGTATGTTCACACACGTTCTCCTGCAAAATTACAGCTCCCACAGTTCAAACAGTGATGCAGTAACTGTTAAACCACCAGTATGCATACATTAAGCAGCGATAGCCTTAAATTAGAACAAGAAGAAGTGGCTGTAATAAGGCTAAAGTAGGTGCAGGTCTAATGACATTTTTTGGAAAAAAAAACCTCTTGGATGATTCACATTACTTGGCCTTCAGATTCAAAATTATTTCAGAATGACCTCCAGATTAATTTAATGAAAGAATCCATGCCTTTTGCTATATACTGTATTTATTTCAATCAAGAACAGAGATGGGGGTACACTGTACGCATAAACACGTACACCATGTTCTGCATAATAGACTTTCACGCTGTCTTGTGAAGTTTTGGTGGTTAGTAGAACCTTATTCTGACAATGCTGAAGAAGAGAAAAGGAAACTGATGAAGCCATATCTAGTATGAACAGAGCAAGTTGATTTAGACCACTTTTGCCGTTGCCTGGATTTCCATGTCTCTCACCCAACTGCAAATGGGAAATGGAGCCACGGCCAGTACAGCTGTTATCAACACTGTGCAGGGCAGATGCACTCCTAGAAAGAGTTCGGCTGGTGGCAATTGGAAGCCCAGCCACATCTGTTGTGGCCAAAGATTGGGAATCACTTATTTATATGGCCTGCAGTTGGGGCACACGGGAATAATTTAGATGTGCAGAACTTCCTTAGGTCACATGCAGTCCATTCATCGGTCTTGCTGTTTGCATTCCTGGCCCACGTCTCCAGATGCTGTGCAGAACTTCCTTAGGTCAAATGCACACATGCAGTCCATTCATCGGTCTTGCCGTTTGCATTCCTGGCCCACGTCTCCAGATGTTCTTGGGCTAAAGCTCCCAGAAGCTCTCACCACTAGTTGTGCTGGCCAGGACTTCTGGGAGTTGTAGCCCGAGAACATCGGGGGACCAAAGGTTGAGAAGGACTATCTTCAGCTGATAGAATGCTGACAGTCCCTGGTTTGGTTCTCCAACTGGATCTCTAAGACCTCGGAGAGCCCTCATTGTCCAGAATGGAAAGGATGGCATAGAATGGTCTAATACATTGAATTCTGCACAGGTTATTCTCATGTGCCTTAGATCACATATAAAACAGAGTGATAATACTGGGCCACAGATGGTCCAGGGATCAGAGTTGTTGTAAAGCCAAGAGCATTTTCCCCTTGATGCTATTTTTAAAACAGCACAGCACAAAGCTCCCAGCAGTTGAAAGTTTTTAATTGGTGCCTATGGTTTCTACTGATCTAATCATACCAGTCAATGCATAATTCTGTTTCCATTGGGCATGACTGTGAATTTTATGAAGACCGCTTTTTGTGGGCAGGAATCACGCAGGGCAATAGAAAGGGTTTGTTTGTGGTAGAGGGCACTGTATGTGTGTGTGTGTGTGTGTTAATTCCGCAAACTGTTTTGTTGTTTGGACACGGTAGCACTGATCATGCAAAACACTTTCATCTGAAGAGCATCAAAGGATTTCCCCATTTTCAGGAGGGATAACCTTATGTTGCAGAAAATTTTGCTGGCTCCTACTTCCAATGCCACCTCAACAATTAGAATTTCCCTTTTTTGTGAGCCTGTCCCCCTGTCCCACCAAACAGTATTTCCAAATGTTTAAATGGGTCTAACTGGAGTTTCTACCTTAGAGACTTCCTCCCCCTCATCCTATACTTGGAAGGGACAATGCACTTGCTTTTATTTTAATGCAAACCGATGTAATTTTGTGTTTTTCGTCCACTGCCACAAACCTATACAGTCACATTTCTTTGAAATTCACAGTGGAATGCAACAATCCAAAGGCGGCAGCAAGTGGGCAGAAAAAATGGATTTGTTAGTAAAAATAATGTTGAAAAGTACATTGCGTTAGGTAATGGTCCTACAAAACCAGTGTCTTAGGCCAAAAAAGGGGCATACAGTATATTCGTTAAATAACCACAAAAATCTGTAAGTGTTTCCATGGAAAATAAATTTTTTGAAAGTCCTCAAAGTTCAGGCTAAGCCAAACTCATGGAAAACGAGAGTAATCCAAACAGATAGTTTTGTTGATCCTTAGTCTGCAAATCATCTTAGTCCTCAAAGTTCAGGCTGAGCCAAACTCATGACAGGAAAATGGCAAACTAGAGTAATCCAAACAGATAGCTTTGTTGATCCTTAGTCTGCAAATCATCTTTACATTAGAAGCAATATAAAAACTGCTACGAAACAAAACTTTATCCCTTCTGGAACATGCAAGCACTGCCTCCATGGCTCCCTGAAGTATCTGGCGAGTTGCTCTTTTCTAAGTCTCTCTACACATTTCTCCATTTATGCTCCTCTGACCATGAGCTGCACACGGGTGTACCGGGTTCTCTGAGATGGGAACCACAATGCTACTCTAAGCACAACCCCTTTGGGAAATGACAAGAAGATCACACCTGGCTTGTCCTTGAAAGGGAACTCGCCAGGGAATCTCTGGGTAGGGCTAAGGAAAGAATCCTTTCTGGAACCCAGGACAGCCTCTGAGTTACCAATACTGGGGTAGGTGGACGGATGAAAGGCAGCACCCTAAATCCCCTCCTCCAAACAATGGGAAATAAACACTCAAGAGCACCCCTCTGTTCAAGATAGTGCCCTCTCCATTTGTTGAACTACAAATGCCAACACTCCAGATTAGAGATGGGCACAAACCGGTTCGTCCCAGTTCGTAAAGACGGTAGCACAGGTGCTCTTTCCCCTTCTTCCCCTGGCTCAATCAGCCATTCACCAGGTCCAGCGTGGTCGCTTCCTGCACCTCCTCAACTGATCGTCCAGTCTTGGCAGCAGCTCAGGCTTCTCTGCCCCGCCCTCTCGGCTGATCTCCCAATCAGAAAAAAAGGGGTGGGGCAGAGAGGTCGGTGCTCTTGCTGCTGACTGGGAGAATAGCTAAGGAAATGGAAAAAAAACAAGCAAGATGGGCCTGATTGGCTGAGGAGGTGGGGAAGAGGAGCCACAACACCTGGGCTACCCACCTAGACGAATCAAGATGAGCTGGAACGAACTGGTTCATGCCCATCTCTATTCCAGATCACTGCCCAGGTCAACAGGAGCCGATGGAAACTGAAATTCAAGATACCTGGAAGATATTACATCATGAGAGGCTGTTCTCTAGATCCCTGCAGTGTGACTTGCAGAGCACCACAGGAAAGAAAGCTAGCCCCTAAAAGCAGCTTCCTCACAGGTTTTCTTCATAGACACATTTTGACAACTATTCTGTAATAATTACTATGCTTCAAGAAAATGAGGACTGTACGCCCATCACTTACATCTTGGGGGGGGGCTACTCTGTACCTGTGTGTGGTATGTGTGTAGATAGATTTCATGACAATTGGAAACAGCAGCTTTATTATACATTTGACCTTTGCAATATGTGTCTACATATATATATACATTTCTCCCGTATAATTCATTAGTACCGTTTCTTTGGGTCTTTGTATGAGTTCGGGGGAAAAGCCATTGCACTCAAGGTAGATTGGTCAGCTACATATTTACACAAGTGCTGCACAATTATACTTCATTTAACAGAATACCTTCCATGGCAGCCAGGCTTCTTAGGAATACATTGCCTGCTTTTGAAATCCAACAGAGGGCTTGAAAAAGCCGACTGTCTGAACATCACGAGGAAATCCAGGTCAAAGTACTAGCAGGAGTGTCTTTGTGACATTGTGATATTCGATATGTCCTTCATCTCAAGCTGTTCAGATCAAACTCTTACTGGGTGTAGCGATAGTATCCCCTAGTTACTTTTTGAGCAGTCCAAGCTTCCGCAGGGCCTCCCTCCGAGCTTCTTCTGTTGACCCTCGGCCGGAGAACTGTACTGTTATCCCCTGGGGCCTTAGTCCAGAAGGCCTGGGCAATGAACCTGCTCTCCTCCTCATATCCAGGCTGAAGTCTGGCTGTCGGTGTTCATAAAAGTTCTTGGGGCCACTCTGCTGAGCGGTCTTACCGTCCACAATGTCAGTGCCCTGTTTGAATGTCACCGTTTTGCTCACACTAGGGAAGGGACTGGATTCTCTTTTCAAAATTTCGTGGATGTTGCGGTAACCATTTGAGACAACCAGCCCGCCTTCTGAGGTCTCATCTTTTGAAGTGGGCCTATTTAGGGGATGGGCTGGTTGGGCTTGGCCAAGGGTCTCTTCCACTAGGCCAAGTCTACTCAAGGCTTCATGCCTTGCCTGTTCAGAGGGAAGATCTCGTAACGACGAGCTCCTGTTATGACTCAACAGTTGGTGCTTCTGAAGTCTCTCTTCCAGCTCGCTTATGAGAAAGGGCGAACCGTTGACGTTGGCCAACACACGAGCCTTGCGCTCTTGGATGTTGACCGCGGCCTGAGAGATTGTTTTGCTGAACTCCTTCTCACCAATATTCGTAATGCTGATGTTGCTCGGAAACCTTTGGGGTTTAGGAGCAGTCAGGGGTGGTACAGATGGCTTGAAGGCAGTCAAACACTCACCGTTGCGCAGTGGTGAAGAAGCAGGCGATCCGCTTCTTCTGTCAGTGGACTTATTTTCCTTTGGCGAACCCAGAGAGAAGGAGCTCCCCTCGGCCTGCTTCTCAGATATTTTCTGAGCGATAACAAGCGGAGTGGGGACAGAGCGGAGCAGTTTGGGATGCTGCACTGGGGATGGAGCAGAAAATGCCTCGTAGATCGGCAACGGAGGGGCTGATGGTTGCACAGACTGAGGGGCGGGAGCATCAGAATGGATGCCTTCATCAGGTGGCTCAATATCTTCCTGTTTGAGTTTATCCAATTTCCAGGCCTCCTCTAGTGGTAGAATTGAGAGAGAGAGAGAGAGAGAGAGGAAATCTCAGATTATTAACATTGCTCCCTGGACTGGAGTACTTGCAAATTCTCAAAGGCTTCCTTAAATTTACAAAATGAGCCTAGATTTTTTCTCTTTCTCTCCTCTAATAGCTGCAACACAACTGACTGTATGACCCCCCACCCCCATGTGAAGGGACTTCACTGATGTAGGTGCCACAACTGATAAGGACTTAACCCAATCAATGATGTGGGGGGGGAGGCCTCCTCTGTAGATCTTGCCACTCAGGGAGGTTCAGATTAATGAAGATGCTCCCCACATGCTGCAACCACGCGGGCTTGCCTCAACTGCTCACCTGCATCCAGCTACCCACATCTGGCTGGTCACACTGCCAACCAGATACTGGCCAACACCTGAGCTTTCTGCTCGCCTGCCGCCTGAGAGTTTGTGTAGCTGAAGTCACTTTCATCCGTGCTAGCAATCAATACAGTAGGACCACAGTATCCGCGGGGGGATTGATTCCAAGCCTCCCCCTTGGATACTGAAGACCACTGAAGAATTGAACGCTATACATTGCATGGTCTCTTGCTGCCTTTAGCAGACAACTGTGGTAAATATACCCTAGAAATACCTATAAACACATATTTCTGAGGGGTTTTTTATTTAGAATTTTCAGGCAGCAGATAAATGAATCAGCAGATACTGATACCACAGATGTGGGGGTGTCCTACTATATTGATATTGAATCATATATTTCATCACTCCTATAATGTGGTCTGTAGGCATGGTTTTTTTTAAATTCATGGACTGCAGTTCTAGGAGGTGCAAGGAACTACAGGCATGGTAGACTCTGCATGCTAAATGCTCTCCATGCTCTCCATGCATGCATGCTTGGTCGTTAGGAATTCCATTATTTCCCCATTTTGTTTATCAAGTCCAGACTGACCTGACTCTGAATATAATAAACCAACATTTACCTGCTGTTCTGCTGGGAGCACTCTCTTGAATGGCATTCTTTGGTGATGGTTGGACCAAGTCTATGATGTCTTCAGACTCTGAGAGGCTGGACATGTTTTCTTCCATTGACTTCGGAGAATAACAGTGGATGCCACTGTCATAGAGAGCTTGTTCCTCCAGGTCTTCTTCCAAAGAATCAATGGTTTCTTCAAAGAAGAGAAGGACATCTTTCTCCTCATGAGTCAGATATTTCAGTGTCTCATCCTCCTCCTAAGACAGAAGAACAACTCAAAGTAAGGATTTAAAATGATCAAGAAGGACAGACCTTTGGGACACTGGCTGAGTTCAAAGTCTAGTGAACTCTCAAATGCATCGAAACAAACAGACCAATTTCCAGAAGACTTGGTTTCTTCATACAGGAAAGAAGTAATTTCATTCTCAAATAAATAAGATTATCTCTGGGCCAGCCCCTTAACAAAGAGAACTGGAGCCAAAACATCAATACAGTATATCTATTTATGTCAACATGTATACTGCCCCATACGGCAAAGCACTCTCTGGGCAGTTGATTGCATAAGCATACTTACCAGATACAAACAAGAGAAATTAATAAATGAAGAAAACTACAGAACCATCTCACGTCCAGATAAAGAACAATGCAAAACAATATTGGACATAACTGGTAACTAGTACTAATAAAATTAGCTTTAAACAATTAAAAACAGAGAGGGAAGGCACCTGTCAAAGTAACGAGTACTAATAAAATTAGCTTTAAACAATCCCATTTTAACTAACATCTTAAAAACAGAGAGGGAAGGCACCTGTCAAGCCTCTGATAGAGGTTTATTCCAGAGATGTGGGCCCGCAATGGATAAAGCCTGTCAGTTAGGAATTAGATACCATTTGGCCTCTATACACAATATGCTAACCTTTTCCAAAAAGGGACATGGTGGCGTTGTGGGTTAAACCACAGAAGCCTTTGTGTGCTGCAAGGACGGAAGGCCAGCCGTCGTAAGATTGAATCCACATGGCGTTGTGGGTTAAACTACAGAAGCCTTTGTGTGCTGCAAGGATGGAAGGCCAGCCGTTGCAAGAGCGAATCCACACGACGGAGTGAGCGCACATTGCTTGTCGCAGCTCCTGACAACCTAGCAGTTCGAAAGCATGTAAAAATGCAAGTAGATAAATAGGTACCACTACGGTGGGAAGGTAACGGCGTTCCGTGTCTAGTCGCACTGGCCACGTGATCACGGAAACTGTCTACGGACAAACACTGGCTCTATGGCTTGGAGATGGGGATGAGCACTGCCCCCTAGAGTCGGACACGACTGGACTAAATGTCAAGGGGAACCTTTACCTTTAACCATTTCCAACATTCAGGCTGAGTAACATGTCCTATGGAGCCAGACATCACAATTCACCCAGGAGAGGAAGGTCTGTGGTACATTGAGCATTATACTGGCACTAGGGAGATACATATTCATGTTCCCACAGAACTATGAAACTCACTGGGTGCGCTTGGACCCGCCATTTTCTGTCAACCTGATTTACTTCACAGAATTGTCATGACGAGAACTTAACGAGCCATGTTCACTGCCTCAAGATCCCTTGAGAAAAGGTGTTAGATTAGGCATCCTTCAGTCTCGAGAGACTATGGGAACGTGCTCTGAACAGAGAGGTCTTGGAACAGCGTCTAGTGTGGCTCAGAAGGTCAATTCAAGAGTGACCATCCCTTCCACACTGAAGACAAATACAATCTGTCCCCTGTCCATCTCCCTGATTTGTCTGCTTTCAGGACTGCCTCTTTGCCTCGGCCTGATTTCGACGCTTTATGAGAAAAGGTGTGCTACAAGTGTAAATAATAAATAAACAAGCAGACTTGAAGAAGTCTTTAGAAAGAAAATTCAAAAGGGAGCAGGCCACCAAGCAGAAGCTCAACGAGGCTTAGGAATCCATAGCAGCTACAGAAGGCTTGTTAGTGTTGCAGGCAGGGGAGAGAATGGTATTAAGTGGAGGGATTGTAAAAATGAACACTGTATATTGCAACACATATTTAAAGATCCGACTTTTTAAAAAGATCCTAGCCCTCATTATGTCTTCTAAATTCTACACGTCAGATGCAGCATTCCTGAATATGCTTCAACAAAATTCTAGTAATATAAAAGGAGAAATTCTATATCACCATCAAATTTTATAATTCTTTTACCAGCTCCCCATTCTGCTTAATTCTCATCTTCCTAAGTCACAAAGAGTTAAGCCACTTTTGCTTCTTCCTTGCACCAAAGCGCAGCTTGCTTTTGTAACATCCTATAAACATACAATATTAGCTTGTTTGCTTAGGATTTGTGCCAGTTTTCTGTTGCACTCAAGATCGAAGCCAATTCTGAAAGCATTTACAACTGGTGCAGAGTTCCAAGCCAGGGCTGTCATCTACAGAGAGACAATTTATCGCCAACGTTGTTCAACGAGACATAAGAATATAAGGTCTTTGTGTCTAGGGTGAGGCTCTGAGACGTCTCTGTATCAACAGCAACAACACAACTGCACTGTTAAGAAGCTGAAGGAACTTGTGAGGATTTCTGTCTCCCCATGTCTGTGTGCTCTTGACTCCTCTATTCTCACCCATCATGCAACACAAATGAAGGAAGAAGTAGCTTTTGAAGAGATCCAAGCTTGTTTGTTTGCTTGCTTGCTTGCTTGCTTATCATCTATCTATCTATCTATCTATCTATCTATCTATCTATCTATCTATCTATCTATCTCCTACTTTTCTCCTCAAAAGGACCCAGTTTAGAAAAGTTACTTGGGGACCACAAATTGCAGAACCCCTCCCTTTGAAAATCTGGAATTTGTGGTACAAAAGGCCAACTTTTTGACTGAAGTATCATTGAAAACTCACTTTATTTTATTTCATTTTTCTTAATGGTCCAATGAAGGTATCACCTGTTCCTACATTTATATTGTTTTGAGGATCGTGCAGCCTGATTCTGATTTCCCCCCCCCAACTATATAGGAAATGATAGAGAAATTATTTGTGTTACAGAAATTGGGGGATTTCTTAATAATTCCCTCCTGTTCCACGGTTCATGTTGCGAAAGATGTTATCTCTGCAGCCGAAACACCAACCTTGCACGCATGATAAGAAGTTATTAGTAAACTCACTGTTTAGAGAAGTACAGAACATATTTTGGGAAAGTGAACTTAAGGGTTGGAAGAACTTAAGGGGTGGGCTGGAAGAAGCACCGTGTAATGACTGAACATGTCCAGTGGTCATGGAATACAGACAGGGACTGATCACACTGTAAGGCAAATGCCTACTTCCTCCTTTTGCAATGTTATCCCTCCAGGAAGACAGATCTTTCAGTCCTGCAGTGCCTGGCACACCAGATATAAAATGTGCTACTTACCACCTAACTAGTTACAAAACAGAAGCAGGATACAGTAATTTACCACATACAAACTGAAGAGAGGTTGGGTTAGAGACACAATCTATAGCTCAGTAGTTTGAATATTTGGCTGCAGAATCAGAGGCTATGAGTTCGATTTCCTACTGTGCCTCCTTGATGGGAGCTGGATTCAATGATCTGGCTCTACAGTTCTACGATGATGATGAAACTCAGGAAAATATTAGTGCTCAAAATCAAGTTTCAACTGAAACAAGAACCTCTCTCTCAGACATCATCCTGTCCTGAATGAGTGGAGATGACCAGTCTAGAACCCAAAAGTACAACTTCTGTCTACACCTTAGAAGTTCCCAATTCAAGGCAATGTCATCTGGATCCAGTACTTTCTGACTCCCGCGATCACCTTGTGAACATCACGACTGATTTTTTTTTTTTGGCTCAACTTTGGAAGATACCCCTTGAAAGGCTGGTCCAGGATACAAACCACATGGCCCTTTGACACCAGCTCAGCAGTACTGCACACGAAATAAAACATCCATCCTCTGACTGTGAATGGACTAAAATAGGCTTTCCTGGGTGGTTAAACTAAATTTTATTCCCAGCTCTCTGACAGAGGCCTGCCAGGTGATAGTATTGTCTTTCTCCTGCCCCCTGGTTTTTCTCCGGCTGGTCCAGGATACAAACCACATGGCCCTTTGACACCAGCTCAGCAGTACTGCACACGAAATAAAACATCCATCCTCTGACTGTGAATGGACTAAAATAGGCTTTCCTGGGTGGTTAAACTAAATTTTATTCCCAGCTCTCTGACAGAGGCCTGCCAGGTGATAGTATTGTCTTTCTCCTGCCCCCTGGTTTTTCTCCTCTTCCACCCAACCAGCCACAAGCTCTTTGCATGCTGCTCACAGACGCTTCCCCAGCATGTACTACAACAACCATGCCAATAAACTTTTGAAACTGCTTGAGGAAGATGGGATATGTTACCATCAAAAGCTGGCAATCTACTTGATCTTTCTAGTGGTCTAATAAAGGGACTGCCTGCTTCTACATATATATTGTTTTGTTTGGAGACCACATGGTCTATTTTTGATTGCTTGATCACAGTCATGACTGATAGAGGACACTGAATCCATGGACTAAACCTCATGTTGGTCCACCCTAAAATAGAGCCGTGACAATCAATGGGAGTTCAGTTAGCCATGCCTCCTTTTATTTTTCAACGCGTCTAATTCCAGGTAGGGCTATAACTGGGTTTAGCCCCATCTTTTTC